CATACCGCTGTGGATAGAAGGCTCGCTGCAGGAGGACCTTGAGGCACACATCGGAATCGTCCCGCTGGATGCTGGCCAGCCGCAATCGCTGGGGCAAGGTGGAGATGGACTCGGGCGACAAGAGCGAGGTAATGCTGCCCATCATGGACGGCGAAGAGGGCGAAGAGATGAAGGAGGTGGTGGAGAGGAACGACGTGGCAGCGCCCGCCAAGTTTCCCGGCGAAGATGGAGAGGAGGAGACATTTGTAGTGGGTCGCCAATCGAAGACTGATGAAGAGAAAGAAGAGGAAATCGGCACAGACGCAGTCGAAGCCGTGGAAGGCCCCGTTCTAGGCTTCGGTATGTCCATCTTCTTTAGATGCAAATTAGCAATACCGCCAGCAGGTTTGCTGAGTGTTGGCTGCTGGCGGACATTGGTGGAATTCTGAGCTTGAATGCAGGCGCCCCCTTGTGGGCAACAGTCATTACCACCAACCACCCATATCCCTGGGTGGTCCTCATGGCAATGTATATGAGTGGGTGGTAGCTAGAATGGCTTTGGGTGCTTGGACCTGGCTGGGTAGTTGCTTGCTCATGCTGAATTTGAGCACTGGAGGAGGTCAATCAGGATGGTGCACATGCATGAGCCCCTCTTTCCACGTCTGGTGGGATAGCCATCCCTCCAAGTGTCCCCCTATCCTATGCCCCTGTCCACCAGCTCTCTGGCCACATTGTCAAGCTCCACAAATGGGGCAAAATCACACTGGGCTAGACCATGGGGTGTGTCACCAGCCAGGAACCAGAGAGGGAGGTGCACCACATATGCTTTGCCTTTAGTGGCATGGTCATGGATCAGTTGCTGGACATCCTGACCTGTGGCTGTGGTAATGTTTCTGCCATGTGGGCATTCATTTGTGAGTGAGTGCACAGTGGTACCCCTGAGTCCTGTATTACATGAACCACATTTTTGGCTCTTGTGTTCAGCCTGGCAGGCCAGCTTGTTGAGGTGGGGCTTACTGGTGCAGATTTCTAGCAGGGGGACAGCCAGCACCAGATCTCCTGGCCCACAGCACCAATACAAATAATGCCTGGTGTCACTAACTGGTAACATCCCATATTGGGCTTTATGTAAAAAGTTGGACATGCAGACAGTTGGCAAGGGGGTCTTATCAAGTGCCACATGTGTGGTGCCTCAGTCAATGGCCTGGTCACAGAGGACAGCCCCACAGGCTGGTTTGAGGCTCATGCAGCCCTCCCAAGTGGAGGCTGCCTTTTTCACAGCCCTACATCAGATATTGCCATCCACCATCCAACCCTGGCTGGGTCGCCCTTAGCAGCAGCTGTGGAGGCTTTCTGGGTGATGTGGCTGTATATGTGTTGAAAGTAGACTCCTCTTTTTTGTTTAGTGTACTCTGACAGGTGGTGGTGTATCCAGTTGAGAATCCACAGCCACCTTAGTCTGTTGCATTCCCACAATTTTGGAGGGCCAGGCTGTGATGGTATTGATACCAGCTTTAGAATGTGTGGCAACACAGACATTGACCCCTGGGGCATAAACAGTGCCTCCTCAATGGCATGCAGCTCAGCAACCATGGACACTGGCACCACAGGGACATTGTATGAATGCCCTGTTTCTTTTGGACCCAGGTCCAAAATAGATTCCTGTGGCCATTGATCCATTGGTCCCCCAGTCCAAGTTGGCATTTATCAAGACGCCCATGTGGACTTGATGGGGTTTACTTCTAGCCCAGCCCACATGCCAAAGGTGACCAATTTATCAAATGCAGTTTTGATTCATGCAGCACTACCAATGAGTGTTATTTTGTCACAATAGCTGGCAACCAGGATGCACACCCCATTACAGAAGGCATAGCCTGTGTCTGGCCCATCAATCCAGCTCAAGACAGGGTTGATGGCCAGGATGAAGAGGAGGGGTGACAGTGTGTGCCCTTGCCAGACCCCACATTCCACTGGGATGAGTCCACTGATATTGTGGTTGAGATAGATGGGGTGATAGTTGGCAGGATTGTCTGGAGCCCCATCCTTGGGCAGGAGTATAATGTGGGCAGCTTTCCACTCTGTGGGTATAGCCTCATGGAGAGCTAGGATGTCATTCATACCCTCCTGAAGCATCTTGTGCTTCAAATGGGTTTGCCTTGAGCATGGCAGCATCTATGCTGTTGGTACTGGGTGCTCTGTTTTTGTAGAATACCTGGCTGGTGCTGGCATTCAAGCCCAATCTGGAGTGGGAAGGAATGTCATGATGAGGTCTAGGTTGGCGCCATTGGGCGCTTCTAGCCCCTGATGCATGCCTGTGTACTTACACTTAATTAATTTCGTCCAGCAGAAATCTACCTTGGTGGGGTGTACTGTTGTGAAGCTGTCAAGCAGGCCACCCTTGTCAGAAAGGAGATGCATGAGTGCATGGCACTCCTTATATCAATTGGGGTGTCCACAGTCTATTGGGGACCAGGCAGCATTAAAGTCCCCCCAAATGATGACACCCCATCTGTGCTGTTGGCACTCCATGATGGCCAGGAGGACACTCTTATTGATCCACTTGCTTACCTTGGTGCGGCCTCCTAAATGTGGTGTCAATTAACATGAACAGAGTTCATAGTCACCTGTACTACATTGATTGCCTTATGTCTAAAAATAACTGGCACATTGCCCTTAACAAGAGATGGGACTTGAACTTAATAATGTGCAAGACACAGGCCTCATAGTCACTGCCCAGTTCAACACCCAGTCTGGAGCTAGCCAGCAGGGTGGGGTTTTATGTGAATGAATCTGGGTAGGGGCAGAGGGGTTGGGGTGGTTGATGTATAATGAGGGCACAGTGGCACTATGGGGTGTGATAACTGAGGGAGGCGTTCCACCAAGGGGTTTTGTGTGGTTGGGGAGGGGCAGGGGGGACTGACTTGGAGATGGTGGGGGTAAAGGACTCATAATTTCTCACACACCAGGCATCTCACTAGCTCAGAGACCTGAGGGGTCAGAGGAGAGGGGAACTCCATGGGGCACAGGGTTGGGGGTACTTGAGGCTTGCTGCAGAAGGATGCAAGATGTGAATGCAAAAACAAAGTAATCTTGGGTCCAAATAGGCAGCAGAGCACCATTATTATTGCAGGTTTGAAGAAAACTAATGGCAGGGGTTAATAGGATGGGGTGGGTCAGTCAGCCCATAAGGCAATTGGGAGGGTGGAGGAAGTGTTATGTTGACAGGGTAGGGGCTGGGCAAGCAGATAATGACTGCTCATAGTCAGGGGTGAAAAGATGAAGAGGATATAGGGCAAGGGGAAAAAACTGCTGGGGATGGGTCCCACAGCAAGCAGTTTACAGCTGCTCATAGTTGAATATAACAACAGGGTAGGTGTACCATATAGGGCTAGTAGCATGTTGGCCTCTTGCATCCTCTCCATCTTTCAATTTGTTGTTTATTTAAATAACGCACCGAATTACATTCCGATCATACCAGGCAGCACGGAGCAATTTGCGAGAGTGCTTGTTGCCTCCTTGATTAAAAATAGTTTTTATAATTGAGGTGGCCATCAAGAGACCTCACCCATCAACAGCAAGAGTGGCCTGGGCGTCGTGGTTGCCTCGAAATCACAAAGATAGATATAAACAAAATGAACAAAACACGAGAATTGGCCATCTTCGAGTACGTCCTCATCGTGCAGGTCAATCCATGTACGCTCCCTGCCTTTTTTTCCCCAATATCCCTTCATTCCCCTCTTTCCCTTCTATCTCGCCCCCCTCCCCACAGTACCGCTTTTCGTTTTGCTGCAGCGAGACCACCCCAAACAAACAGCAGTAATAATTATCTTTATTATTACTGCTAATAATAATGTACAATATCATGATATTCCCACCACGCCGTGGCAGTATTGCTTGCCGTTGCTCAGCGTTCACCCCGGCGCCCGCCTCACCTGTGCCATACTTACTTTCCATCACGAAAACTTTACAGCGACGGGGCAGCCGTTCATCGCCTATCGGTACCCGCCGTCGACAGACCAGGGGGCAAAGGACTCCATCTCCGGCCCCATCATGCGATTCTGCTTCCCCGAGCTCGAACTCTCCGACCAGAGCAAGAAGAAGGACAAGAAGAAGAAACTGCTCGGGTATCTTTTCCCGATCCCATTTCTCCTGCGTTCATGTGTGCGCGTGCGGTGGTGCGTGTGGTTAGCACAGTTTACTCACAGTTGAATTCGGTTGCGGCACGCGCTCCAGGGGAATGGGTGTACAGCAGAGCGAGACGTTCTCGTTCGTGTTGACGGACTCGGACGGCTCCCGCAAATTCGGCTACTGCCGACGCATGCGCGTGCCCAATCCCGATAAGCCAAGTGACACCATCATCGAATGTCATTGCATGCTCAGTCTCTGGTACCCACACGCACACGGACACACACGCGCGCGCACGCACACGCAGTTGACTGATCTGTTGTCGGTTCGGGATGCGGGCCAGCACTTCGTTTACGCTCTTCCGGCGCATATTGGACATCGTCGAGGAGCGGCGGAAGGCGTCGACCAAGCCCAAGCCCACCGCTGTGTTCTCCTTCCTGCAGTCGGTGCTGGCCAACAAGTTCCCGGACCCGGGCGAGACCATCACCGTGCGCACCTTCGCGGCGGGCGGCGGCGCCG